TTTTATTTTTATTGAAAGAAATGTTAAAAAAGGCATTGGAACTCTTTTGTGTTGGAGAAAGAAAACTTGGTTGTGGTGTATACATGTATCTTTAATATTTATAGTTATGTAGTTTCTCGATACGAGTGGACAAAAATGGTTATGCATACTGTATGTCTACATGTATATTGATCTGTTCAAAGCTATAAATTATTCACTTTATGTTTACTTACCAACATCGGGATTGTCAACTGTATAGTTACTGTGCTACGGTAATGCACATTGTATCTGAGTGGAGAATGTACCTCTCTGGTGAATAAAACAAGGGGCCCATGGGCCACATCGGTCACCTGAGTAACTCTGGTGATGCAGCTCTTTACAATATTTCCCCTCTTGTTATACCTATTGTGGCCCCCTACCCCCATCCCCTGTCATGATTTTAATACTTTAAAATTTACACTACCCCATGATGCTTCCACATAAGTTTCTGTTTTCCTGGCCAAATGGTTCCTGAGAAGATTTTTAAAGATTTTTCCTATATATATCTATGTAAAACTTGGATTCCCTATTTTGGCCCTGCCCTACCCCCGAGGATCATAATTTTAACAATTTAGAATCTACACTACCCCACGATGTTTCCACATAAGTTTAAGTTTTCCGGGCCCAATGGTTCCTGAGAAGAAGATTTTAAAAGATTTTTTTCCTACATGTATATATTTCTATGTAAAATTTGGATTCCCTATTGTGGCCCTGCACTACCCCCGGGGGTCATGATTTTGACAATTTTGAATCTACACTACCCCATGATGCTTCCTTATAAATTTCAGCTTTCCCAGTCCAGTGGTTCTTGAGAAGAAGAATTTTCCTATTTATTTCTATGTAAAACTTGGATTCCCTATTGTGGCCCTGCCCTACCCCCGGGGGTCATGATTTTGACAATTTAGAATCTACACTACCCCATGATGCTTCCTTATAAATTTCAGCTTTCCCAGTCCAGTGGTTCTTGAGAAGAAGAATTTTTCTATTTATTTCTATGTAAAACTTGATTGATTTCCCTATTGTGGCCCCGCCCTACCCCCGAGGATCATGATTTTAACAATTTAGAATTTACTCTACCCCAGGATGCTTCCATATAAGTTTACGTTTTCCTGGCCAAATGTTTCTTGAGAAGATTTTTGATGACCCCACCCTATTTTTAGGTCACCTGAGTAAACTCAGGTGACATATTGCTATCTGTTTTCGTCCGTCGTCGTTCGTCGTACGTCGTACGTCGTTCGTAAACTTTTGAACATTTTCAGCTTCTTCTCTGCAACCACTGAACCAATTTCAACCAAATTTGGCACAAAGCATCTATGGGTGAAGAGGAACAAAAATTGTGAATTTCATGATCCCTGCCCCCCTGGGGCCTGAGGGGTGGGGCCAAAACCACTAAAATTAATGCAATCTTTAAAAATCTTCTTCTTTATTCCTGGAAATCAAGCAGTCAAACTGTTTGCATGATTGTAATCAGCATTGAGTCCTCTACCAAAATTGTGAAATTCATGGCCCTGGGGTCAGGGGTTATAGTGCTAGGGCAGGGCTAAATAAGTAGGTAGTGAAAATGCATTATTTCTCTGAAAATCTTCTTCTCTGCTCCTGGGTATTAAATAAACCAACTAAGTAGTTAGTTATGATGAGCAAGAGTGCTTCTACCAAAATTGTGAATTTTATGGCCCCAGGGTCAGGGTTTCTGTTGTTTGGGCGGGGCTCTATTGATTATATACAGTAAAAATACATGATTTCTTTGAAAATCTTCTTCTCTGCCCCTGGATATTAAATAAACTAACTAAGTGCATAGTTATGATGAGCAAGAGTGCCTCTATCAAAATTGTGAATTTTTTGGCCCCAGGGTCAGGGGTTCTGGTAGGGGGGGGGGGCTTTATATATTATATAGTAAAAATACATGAATTCTTTGAAAATCTTCTTCTCTGCTCCTAGACATTAAATAAATTAACTAAGTGCATAGTTATGATGAGCATGAGTGACTCTACCAAAATTGTGAATTTATGGCCCCAGGGTCAAGAGTTCTGGTGTTAGGGGGGGGGGGGCTCTATTGATAATATTGTGAAAATACACGAATTCTTTGAAAATCTTCTTCTTTGCTCGTAGGTATTAAATAAACTAACTAAGTGCATAGTTATGATGAGCAAGAGTGCCTCTACCAAAATTGTGAATTTTATGGTCCCTGGGTCAAGGCTTCTCTTGTAGGGGGGGGGGGCTCTATAGATTATATAGTAAAAATACATGAATTCTTTGAAAATCTTCTCTGCTCCTAGTTATTAAATAAACTAACGAAGTGCATAGTTAAGATGAGCAAGAGTGCTTTTACCAAAATTGTGAATTTTATGGTCCCAGGGTCAGGGGTTCTGGTGTTAGGGTGGGGCTTTATTGATTATATAGTAAAAATACATGAATTCTTTGAAAATCTTCTTCTCTGCTCCTAGGTATTAAATAAACTAACTAAGTACATAGTTATGATGAG